TTTTAAATAGGAGGTCAATTAGATACTTAATAATAACCCATATCTTTTAAATGTATTCCTACCATTATTATCCTAGCAAAAAAAAAAATTAATTAGCCAGGTTGTGGGGGCCATGAAGGCTAATGTAGAATGTAATTATTCCTGATCTTTAGACATGCACTTCACATAAAGAGATAGTCCTTATTCAGCTCACCAGGTACCTTGATTGTCAGTAGTTAATCACAGATAAGGAAAGGAATTTGTTAGTTCAGCCTCTTAGGATTTAAGTACAACACAAATTATTCCCACTCAAGGACAGTTAAACAGTTGTCATTTTTCATATCACTGCCCCTTTGTTTACTGTCACACTCACTTGTTTTTAATAAAGTGAGACCAGGCAAGTTTGTTGATATTAAACTACACAGCATGAATGTTATTTCCTACAACTGGAAGTGGGAAAGAGAGAGAAAAATGTACAAAAAGGAGTCGTACTGGCAATTAAAAATGGAAAAGCAACACACATTTCGGTGAGAAAAGAACACAGACCCAACAGAAATAATAATAAAAATTGACTTCTGGATATAAACCTATATATTAAAATTGAATACAAAAATACTTCAAATCCTATAAATGTTAAGTAAAAGCATTTCAAATGTATTATTTTGTTGCTCACTTCTTCTTCTTTCTTTCATTTCCCATAACCCTCTTCAAATCACACCCATGTCTTTGGAGTTCTAAAATAGCTGTGCCCAATTCACTTTGTTTTCTTATTTTACAATGGACTAGATATTTTGCAAGCTGACAAGTGGATGTGTTTTGTTAAGAGTTTTTTGGCAGCAGTTCTTTGTCTATGATGTGCAGTACGTGGACACACAATAAAACTCTACCCATTGGCACAGCATCAGGTGATGGTCTAGGAAGACTTCATGCACAGCTAATTACATTCCTTCGGCCTTGATCCAAAGACCAGCATCACTGGCCCAAGTGCCTGTGGGAGACTGGAATGTGTGTTTCTCAAACAGCAATAGCAGCCAGCCCCATCTCTATGTGGTCCAGAGCAAACACCTTACAAACCAAGGGGAAAACAATTTGAGATTTGACAGGATGCATCCAGATCCCACTGAAAAGGAGACAGGGGATAAAGAATGCCACTGGAGATGTGGAGAAGCTCATCTGAATTTCAACCACCATTTCTTATAAAAGACACCTGTTCTACATTCTCTCTGTTGTAAATTTTTTTTTACTACTGAGAAAATGTTATGACCACTATAAAAGCTTCAAAGAACAGAGTGGTCAATCTCAGCAAATGATAAAAATACAGCTTTGTTGTGCTTGAATAGATGATCTGGGCAAATGTGTTTAAGATTAAAGCAGCAAATTTCCATTTTTTTTTTGTCTCCCACTTCTATTTAGAAAGGTTCACAAAATTTGTAAATATATGTTATGGGGCAGAGAGAAGAGAGAGCATGGGGGTCACAAAGTCCCTACTTTAAAAGAAAAAAGTAGATGGCAACCCCAATCTTACCATTAGGTAGCTGGGGGCAGGGGCAGGGAGAGAATAAACTATGAAATTTGGAAGAAAATTTCAGTTCTTCCGTCCATCCATGGTTCTTACAATCTAAGTAATGCCTTAAGAATTACTACTGCATTTTGAGTTACAACTACATTCTGAGGTGCCATCTGAATCTGATCAAAAACAAGTATCATTGTCAATCAAAGTGCACCTGGATACAATGATTTTTCTCTGCTGACAGCATGCTGAAGTGTCATCCAAGTAGCTGTCTGCACTGGATACTGTGCCATGGTGACTTAAGGAAGGAGGTGGGGAAATGGCCCCCCAGTGGTTGCTGGACTGCAACCTTGTATCCGTTCTGAATTGCCCTGCTCAGTAGAGCTGAAGGAAGTTCCAGCCCAATGATACCTGGAGGGCTGAAACTACTGTATTTTTCCATGTATAAGATGCCCCATGTATAAGACGACCCCCCACTTTTCTAATGCAAAATTAAGAAATCTAAGTGGGGCTTAGCTAAGTGTAGGGGAAAAGGGATCGAAGCGCTGCAGGATCACTTTAATCCCTGCTTTTTGTTTTCATTCTCTCCTTAGCTTGCTTCCATGTATAAGATGACCCTCAATTTTTAGTCTAAAGATTTTAGACAAAAGCATAGTCTAATACACAGAAAAATACAGTACTCCTTGTGCCTTAACAGTTGAGCAGAGCCTCCAGATGGAACCTATGTTCATTTTATTCCTAGAGCTTACAAGAAAAAGAAAAGAAAGAAAAAGGACCCAGACCCATATTTTTTGCGGCAACAAGCTGCTTAAGCATGACGCAACTTAGGTTTCTTGGGCAGGGCATGCAATTAATTAAACCTAAGCAGGATAAAGCTAGCAACTTCCAAGATAATCCTAACCACTCTCCCTTTCGGTGGCCTTTCTTTGAGACTCGTTTGCACACTCGGGATGGCACTGACCCAGCAGCTGCAATAGCAGCCAAGGCAGTTCCTTGCATGAGGCTCCAAGAGAAGATGAAAAGCCCACCAGAATCCTGGCAGACATGCTTGGAGGAGACATGCTTAACCTGCCTGAAATGCTTTAATGAATTTTCCCAATGCACACCAGAGAGAGCAGCAATCCACAGAAGTGTCTCACACTAAACAGGCCCCTTAACAACTGGATTGGCAGGGAAATGACAACATGTTCAGTCATGGCTCAACTCCAGAACATCGCAAAAAAGATGTGGATAGAACAAGAGAAAACTGGAGGCAGCTTAGTGATTTCTAGAAGCAGGAATGGCCACTTGATCTTGGTGACAGGTCTGTTAACCTTTGCTTCAGGAATAGTACAGAAGGCCTCCCAATAAAAGCAGGGAAGTGGCTAGCTTTATGAATGAAGAACAAAGAGAACAGAACTCGGGATTCTCCCTAATATGATATATGGCTATACCAGCAAAAGCAAGCTGTTCTTGACCTTGCTGATAAGCAGATAAGCAAAACCATATCTGCTCTGAAAAATGTAGGGAGGGCTCCCCCTCCTTAAGAACAAGTCAGAGTGAATAGTTGCCATGCCCTACAACCCTTGAAGATGCTTTCTCCATACTCCTGGATCAAGGATTCATCTTGGGTACAAATTACAGCCCTCAGGTTTTTGGTCCTCAGAATAATGCTAGGACACCACTTTACGTTATTCTAAGGGGGAACGCTGGAAGTGGAAGCTGTAATTTACCAGAATTGCCACAATGATTCCTGTGACCAAAGCAACATGTTGAAAGAAATCAAAGCATTTTAAAATAATTTTTTAAAGGTCAGGGAAAATAGTTACAACTGCTGGAACAGTGTAATATTTAACCAGAGAACTGATGTTACAGAAGACCAATCATGCAGTCCTACATGTCATGGTCCAGCGCAGTCTTCTCCCTACTCTCTGTGTTGTCCTCAGAGGCCTTGAACTGCAATTCCCAGCCAACACAGCCAATTAATTGTTAACTGGTCATTAGTATTTCTGTGGCACCCAAAGGTACCAGCCCAGCCGGTATTTGTACCATTCAACTTCTTTCTTCACATTAGTAGCTCTTTGGCCAGCAATCTGAGAAAGAGTTCTGACATCTTGTTTTGGGAAATACAGTACATTTGCACAGAAATCAGTCATACACTGAACCCAATGGAATACATGTTTTTTTTAAAAAATAAAATTGATTTAAATCATAATTTAATTCTAAAACATGGCTGTTTTATTTAAATCATCAAAAACCCTATTTTTAAAAATATTAAATTGTGATTAAATCAATTTGGTTTAAACCAAAGGGATTTAACAATTTAAATTACCATTATAGCAGTTGTGACTATTTAAATCAAAACCACCCTGACAGAATGAATTTATTTGGAAATGTACTTAAGACTGCATTTTGTGTGTGTGTGTGTGTGTGTGTGTGTGTGTGTGTGTGTGTGAGAGAGAGAGAGAGAGAGAGAGAGAGAGAGAAAGCGAGAGAAAGAGAAAGATGTGCTGTCAAGTCAGAATGATTTTTATAACAACCCTAATATAAGTAAGATGTTTAAGGAGTGGTTTACCAATTCCACTTTCCCAGTGAGTTTCAATGGCTGAGTGGGGGTTCAAACCCAGGCCTCCTGAGTTTGAACCCTCACTCTGTCCACTACATCACACTGGAAATCCCATTTCATTAACACCAATTAAAGTACATAGTAGACTTGGTCCCCTGGCTCTGCCATTCTTAGGAGTCCAGCATCTATACTATGCTGGGTTTCAGGTGACTGCAGTAGGACTAAGAAACTTTTAGAAGAATTTTCCATTATTGTGTGGAAGACCTACTATTCAAAGATTTTAATCAGACTCCTCCCTACCCCATTTAGATCTGATTTCTTTTCTTCTTATGGGGCACTGTATCTCTCAGCACCTCATCTGCCATATACCTTAAGACATATACACTAATCCCTATAAACTAGGTACAGACTGGAAAGATAAATTTCCTTCTTGCTTTTTAAAAAGAGGACTGTTCAGCCTGTGGTGCTAGCATTGTTATAATTGTGGTGAGCAAAAGAAAAGAAAAAAGAAAACCACAGCAAATGCCATTAAAATATACAACACTGTTGCTTGCAAAAGGTTTGGTAACTATAGACCTAAACAGCAAGAGCAGTAGCTACATGTGTTTTCCATAATAGCTGTATCACTCACTATAAAGTGATTCTCTCTTGGCTATAATAAAGTAAACCATAAACAGCAATTGAATCATGTTTTCCCTCCGTATCATAAAAGTTAAAATGTCTGTTTATCTTACAATTAGATTGGAAGAATTAAAACTAATACACATCTTTCAAACAAACCCAGTTTATTAACAAAAGGCAGTTTCCATCAAAAAGATTTTTATGTTTCTTTTTCTTAAGTGGGCCGTTCTGCTTGAATGGAAGCTTTACTGTTCAGGACAGCAAAAGCTATTCTCTTTTAAAGATCCCTTTTTTTTCTAAATGAAATTTAAGCATAATCAGAGGAGAGCCATAAAACACACTGACCTGAATTTGCTGCTGAAGGAGATTGATTTTGTGCTGCTGTTGCAAAAGTTGCTGCTGTTGTCTTGCAATCTATTAGAAATAAATTTTCCATTAAATTAAAACAGTGATGTTGAAACTTCAATAGTATTGAGCGAAAACAAGTTCCTACTTATTCCTCATTATAATTTCAAAGATTTTTCTCCTTGATTTCATTGAAGCTTATTTGTCCAAGAGTTAACTAAAAGGACTTGAAAAAGGTTTTGAAGATTTTGTTTGCTAACCTCTTTTTTAATACGATGAAGACCCCATGCTAGAAGAGCTGGTTAAGCTTCTGTGTATTTAATGCTATACATTAAAGCTAACACTGGGCCCTAGTCAAAAGACCTCCTCCCACATATTCCTCCTCTTGTTATGGGTGAGGTCCTATTCTAGGATTTCCCCTTTTGGTAACTGAGTTCCATGAGGATTCAGGACTATCTCCAAAAACTGCCCCTTCTATTTGGAGCTCTACACTTCTAGAAGCTCACCTCATAGCAGCTCTATTATGCTCTTTTTCTGACGTAAATATTTGAGAAGGACTTCTCTGAGAGCAGTGGGCTGGTCATGTTTTTGTTTCAGGTCGCTACTCAGTTATTGGGCACTTCTGTTTGTTTTATTTTGTGGGGTTGCCTTTATTTATTATTATTACATAGGGTTTTATCCAGTGCTGGGATCCAGGGCAACCTCCCTTCCACAGATCTGGTTCAGACTGTCACAAAAGCCACTGGGGTTGATTTTCAAAAGGGTCTTCAGGCTGTAGGTGAGAAGGCCAGAATATCCCTCAGTATGACTGGCACCGTATTGGATTTAGGCCATAGTACCGTATTTTTTGCTCCAAATAGTGGAGCAAATAGTGGGGGAGAAAGTATGTGCGTCTTATGGAACAAATACAGTAAAAAAAGGGGTTCAACCACCACCACCCAGAAGCCCCCTACTGCCATGCTGGGAGGCCTCTGAACTAGCAAAAGAGACTGCTTGCTGTTTGGACCTCACCATTCTGCACTGCTGGCTTTCCAGGATCTGCTCCCTGCAGCCCACCTGGAAAACCAGCAAGGCTAACAGGCCTATGGTAGCAGGTAGTGAAAATAGCCAAGGACCAAAGGGGAAAGAGCCATTCTAGAAAGAACAGGGGAAACCACAAACACAGCCGCCCACTTAGGCAGTTGATTTTCCCACATTTGGGGAAATCACAGAGGTCAGCACATCCAGAGTGCAATAGATGAGCCTTACCCCAGGAAAATCACTTTTACAACAATGGTATCTCCCCTGCCAGGTATGAGGTTGAATGTCCCCTAAACCACCTGCCCCTTTCTGTGCCCTGCCCCCCAAAGGCATGGTGACCCTCAGCTGCACCTCCTGATCACAACAGCCTCAGTCCCGAAAGAGGCCAAGAGAGCTACTCAGTGTTTTGGGGTGCCCCACAGAACCCCCATCAGGGGCTGGATGTTCCTCCCACAATCCTCCAGTGCACAGATATTGGCATACCTAATATGCGGGGAAGGCAGGGAAAGCGGGGAAATTCAAACTTTCAGTTAGTGAAGAGGCTGCTTGTCTGCTTCCTTGCTAGTCCAAGCAGTTAGAGATCTGGGAGAGAGACCTGGGACTGCTTGGTATTGTCGTTTTAAAATGTTAAATTTAGTTTAAAAGCTGTTTGTTTGG